TATCCAATTCTACTGTTATACCCAGCACTCTTCTGCTTAGTATGCTACTTTTCCTTTGCCTGAGAGCTCAGTAACACTCTGGTACAATTCAGCCATTCACAGATGTTTCCTGCTGTTTACATGTCTTCCACTCATTCCAGGTAAACTGATGTTAGTCTTTCAAGCGATAAGCAGTATGTCTGAAGTTCTGCGAGCATTCTTTGTAATAGTGTTTTAGATTCATTTAGAATATCTATTCTACCATTTCTAAATATAGGTTGGGTTGAAAAAAATATATAACTAAGTAACGTTTATCATCTAACATTTACGTGTGTACTTGTTCTGTGCTCCCTTCCCTTCATCCTTCCCTGATACCTGCTCTCACCTGATTCTTGTTATTATGACTAGTACAAACTAGAGGCCTAAACATGTCAACTTGTACAAAGTACAGATGGCCATGCCTATAATCCTAGCTGTTCAGGAGGCTGAAATCTGAGGCTCACAATTTGAAGCCAGATCAGACAGGAAAGCCTAGGAGAATCTTATTTCCAAGTAACTACTAAAAGTTCTGGAACTGGAGTTGTGGCTCAAGTGGTAGAGCACTAATCTTGAACTTAAAAAAAGCTCAGAAACCATGTTCAGGCCCTAAGTTCAAGCCTCAGGGCCAGCACATGCGCACACACACACATGCACATACACATTTATGACATTTTATATATATTATGTATAGTCTATCTAGTATATATATTTTTAACCAGTTTTATATATATCATATACATTTATGTATAGTACACTGAACAAGTTTTGGGTTTTTTTTTTAATCGATCATGGGGCTTGAACTCTGGGCTTGGGCACTGTCCTTGTACTCTTCAGCTCAAGGCGAGCGCTCTACCGCTTGAGCCACAGTGCAACTTCCAGTTTTCTAGTATTTTATTGACAATAAGAGTCTCACGGACTTTCCTGCCCGGGCTGACTTTGAAACGTGATCCTCAGATCTCAGCTTCCTGAGTAGCTAGGATTACAGGTGTGAGCCACCGGCGCCTGGCTTGAACAAGTTTTATACTTAATATACTATATATGTATTTATAATTTGTAAATAATTATATTTATATTAAAATTACATATAAACAATTGTAAATATTAATATTATAAGATATATATTATGTAGTATATAAATACACATTATATATGACTTGTTCAAACTTTTACATATATATATATATCTTGCTCAAAAGTTGCTATAGTACGTAATACTTTCAAATTTTTTCATCCAAGTAGAGAGAGGAAGCATGGGTAAATACATTAAATACAGTAAATATTCACTGAATACATATGAAAAGGTAACTGAAGGGGATGGTGGGAGAGATGGAGAACTATGGTAGGGGCAATATTAACCAAGATTCACTAAATACATAAATGATATGTTGAATTGAAAATCCTTTGTTCATCTACTTCAAGATAATTTTTAAACCATTCTTATAAAGCAACTCGGGGATACAGATTTGTTATATTTCGTGTCAAAAGCTAAATCTAACCAATGTATATTATTTTTGTCATGGTTTATTGAGGCAGATCCTCTCAATCTTGCTTAGGCTAGTTTTGAATTCTCTATTCTCTTGCTTCATTATCCTAAGTACTATGAACCCAGGCACTTGCCACCACACCCAGCTAAAAATCCTATTTTTACTAAGTAAAGTGGTTATCAACTTAATAGCCACTATTTACTCTGAAAAAGAAATCAGTTTAACCACTGGCAAAGGAAGTGCCAATTTTACTTAAGTCCAGTGTTTAAATGTATTCTAACTATTTTATTCTTTTGGGGTAAACATATGGTTGTACTGTTTCATGGAATACAATTTAGTTCATGCATATAATCCTAGCTATTCAGGGGGCTGAAGTTTGAAGCCGGCACAGGCAGAAAAGTTCACAAGAAAACATCTCCAATTGACCAGAAAAAGTGATGGACTGGAGGCACGTCTGAAGTGGTAGTTGCAACTAGGTAGGAGCAAAAATGCATGATCAAGAGTGCCTAGACGTGGCAACAACAAACAAAGAAAAAAAGAGAAATACATAAAGAAGTAAGTTAGTTTATATCTTAGTGATTCTTAGTGCCCACAAAAAAACAGGGATCTTACAATGTCTTGGAAATGAAGAGCAAGGAAGACTATACCATTGAGCACTGAAACATGGCTACATTTCCAATGCCTCAATCCTTTGTATCTCCCTATTTACATTTGTGACTGGCAAGTTGTAGTGAAAGCTCCTTGAAATATACCAGTGCTTCTTCATTTCTTTTTTGCATTTTCCTCATCTACAAAGTGCCTCCATCCCAGTGTTGTTCCATAAACAACTGATAGTATTACATTTGTCTGCATATCCAATCTCACACATGGTTCCCCATGGAGTAGTTAGATATACATCTGAGTATAACTTATAATTTTATAACTAAGGAAAATTAGATGCAGAAAGATAAGAACTTTGATGGAGCAACACCTGACTCTATCTCCTTTTCCTTTCACAACACATTAGACTAATGTGATGAATAAATTGTCCAATCCTATAACTGCTTGTCAATTTACCATACTAGGTAGCCAGATATGTTTCCTTTTATTGATATTTTCATATTTCTTCAAACATACAGCAATCCAGGTGTGCTCAGCAGTTAGTAGCAAAACTAGCTACATACAGCAAGGAGAGAATGGGCACTTAGTGATCAACACTTATTGAGCAATTGATAACAGAATGACTCTACTGAGAAGAAAAGCACTATTGCAAATCAAAGGCAGCTACAGTCAATTATTCATCCCAATCTAAAGACTATAAAGACACCATTTTGTCTTCCATTAGGACAACAGTATCATGGAATTCTAAAGACACAGAAGAACAGTAATGAAGTCTTATGAACACTCACAAGTAGACAAAAAAAATTCCCATATTCTAGAAGATGAGGCTTTTGACATTTGATTTTCTTTTCTTTTGTCGGTGGTGGGGCCTGAACTCTGGGCCTGAGCACTGTTCCTCAGCTCTTCAGCTCAAAGCTAGCACTCTACCACTTGAGCCACAGTGCCACTTCCGGCTTTTTCTGCTTATGTGGTGCTAAGGAATCGAACCCAGGGCCTCATGCATGCAAGGCAAGCACTCTACCACTGAGCCACCTTCCCAGCCCATGACATTTGATTTTATAAGGCATTGTAACATCATTTCTTCTAGTGCATATCTAATCTAGTCACAGAACTAGATTGTTGTTTTTCAATTTTTCATTTTCTTGTTTCAGCACTTTTATGCCTGGCATAATGAAGTCAGGTCATTGTCTAATGACTCAATTTTATAACCACTCAGACTAGGTGTCTTCTCTTCTGTGAGTCACTAACGACAGGAAATTCTACCTTTAATATAAGGCCTAGAATACAATAAACACCCAATATACTTCTAATTTTATCCTCCATTTTTAATTTATACATTTTATTCTTCCATTGGATGTACAAATTAATTTTTTCATATGATAGAGGCAAAAAGTTCAGCATCACCAGGAAACAGGCTCATACCAGAACCCAGATAACCAGTTATACTCTCTCCTAATCCCCTAGCTCCTAAGTGAAAAGGGCAACATGGCAAAACAAGTAACAAACCCAGATTTCTTGGCTATCTGCCCAAACTTTTACTCAAACTTTTACTAAACTTTTACTCAAACTGCTATACTGTATTGCTGACAAAATCAGTTTTCAACAATAACAAAGACTTCCCAGTTCAGAATATATACATGAGTGGCTAATAAGAAAAGTGATCAAAAAAATCCACACTATGATCACAGAGTTATGTCAAACTCCTATCCAGTACATGAAAAACTGACAATTCTACCTTCGCTCCTGTATAGAAAGAGGACATAGCTCATTTAGAAAATCAAAATCTGATCAACAGCCCATTTTTCAGCATAGTAAAAGGCTTTTCCCCCTATTGCTCTTACCACTCCATACTTTCTATATTTATTCAATTCCAAAAGTCATTGGACAATGAGAGCCCCATAAAATGTTTTTCCCCAGTGAGGTGCTCAAATATCAGTTCCACAGAAAACATTTTTAAAACTTTTTGTGCAGTTTTTTCCAAGCCAATTTTTTCACTTATGCCCCAAAATGCACAATCTTGAATATTTATGAGAATCTGCTAGAGTCCTATCCAACAATTTAGATCATGTAGCTGTGAGAGCTAAGGGGTGATGGGCAGAGGTAATATTTTCCAGTTTCAAGTTATTTGTATTTTTAATTATCTCCAGTTTATTGGTTTAGGTGACTGCTGATATTTTCTATTATTGATTGTTGGATATTTCACTTAGTGTGTAAGTTGAATGAGTTTCATCAATGGCCCTTCATGAAGAGCAACATGAAGCAAAAGTTACATAGAAATATTACATAGTTTGTGAGTTTTTACTTTAAACTATTTATAAAAGCCATGGTGATAATGGTTGGAACAATGTGAATATACTGAATGCCACTGAACTCTATATCTAACAATGATTTAAATTTTTATTGTATGTATATTTATCCACTTTCTTCACCAACACACACACACACACACACACACACACACAAGTATACACCTTGTGGAAGGTAATGTTCACTCCAAACCTGGCTTAATGGAGGGAGAAAAAAAAATCAAATGTTGCACATTGACAGAAAGTGATATTTTTTTTTTACTTTCCCAAAGGGCCTTCTAAGTGAAGATGGAGAGCCACTGCACTGCTTCTGGAACGGAGTGGAGAAAAGAACAGTGGGATCAGTGCCAAGAAGTAAGAAATTTTGAGAATTTCATGTCGTATTTGAGAGAAATGCCTGTGTATTTATTTATAGGCCCAACTAGGCTTCTGGTTCACTCAGTAGCGCTGGAGGTGGTGCGTTTTTTTTTTTTTGGGGGGGGGGCGGTCAGCCGAACACCCTGGAAGGCAGGAAGCAGTGTGCGCAGACCAGCCTGGCGCTGGGAGGAAGGAGCACAGCCTGGAAGGCGGGGCTGAGGAAAGAGGTTCTTACCAGGCCACCGCCGCAGGTGCTGAAGGAGGCCAGCGAGCCCGGGTTGCGCAGCACGACCCCGGAGTAGAAGCAGGAGGCGCTGGGCGTCGCGGGAGGGGGTGGGGCGGCCGCTGCACGGCCTGAGCTCGGCCACTGCTCCTCGGCGAAGCGCGGCGCCAGGAATCGTCCGTCTCTCCGAAGCAGCAGGTAGAGGTCCCGGGAGAAGGCCGGGATCCGCAGCAGCACCTCCTCGCTGTCAGGTTCCTCTAGCCGGGCCGGGGGCGGGGACGGGAACGGCCGAGGGGGCGGCGGCGGCGGTGAGGCCGGGACGCCCGAGAACGGGGAAGCCGGGCCGCTGGACCCCCGGGGGAGCTCCCGCGACTCGAGCTCGTCGTCCTCCTCCGAAGCCAGCGGCGAGGAAGGCCGGGACAACTCGGGCGGCACGGGGGCCGCGGAGCGCGCCTCGCGGGAGGACCCCGCTGTGCGGATACCGCCGCCGCCGCCGCCCGCGCGACCTCCCGCGGCGCTCCTCGGCTCCCGGCGCCAGAGCGCAGGAAACACGACTTCCCACTCGTCCGGGCTGGGGACGGGCTGCAGCCCTGCGGGCAGGCGGATAGAGAAGTGCGGCGTGAGGCGCGCGCTCCGCAGCCGCGCACCGGGCGCTCCCCAGGCGTACCCCACGCCGCCCGCCCAACCTCCGCAGCACTGGCGGATGGCCAGTGCCTCTAGAGCGGGTTACAGAGCCCGCATTTTCAATATAAAAGTCTTTGCTGTCGGGCTGGAGGGAGCCAGGCAGGTGGGCAGCTGAGTGAACGAACGGACACCAACGCACACCTCCCAGCGCGCCTCCGAGGCCGCCGGCGCGCGGAGGAAAACCGGCTGCACCTCAGACGCTTGAAATGGGGCTGGCAGGTCTGCGCGTCCCTGCTGCGCGCGATTCCTTCCTCGAAGCCAGCGAACGGAGCGCCAACCGCCCCGGGCTCGGCTCGCATCCCCGGGTTTATGGGCTCCACCTACGCCGGCCCTTGCCCCGGAGCTGGAGGAGCGCCGGGAGGTCGTGCGCGCGCTTACCTGAAGCGACGCCGTTCCACGGGAGCCCCAGCTGGTAGAGGAGGCAGCAGCAGCACCAGTGGGTCAGGCGCGTCCCCCGAATCTTCCCCATACCGCGCTCGGGGCCGAACTCCGCGCCCAGCGCGCGCCTCCTGCGGAATCGGCTGCGAGCAAGCCGCCGACCCAGAGCTCTAGGAGGCCGGGCGGAGATCTCGCCCGGGCCTTTGTCTGCCTGAGGGGGTGGGGTGGGGGCAGGCGGTGTGGCTCCGGGAGGCCGTCGGAGCCCGGGCGGGGGTGGGGTGTGGGAGGAGCGGGGCCGGCGGCGGCGGGGCCCGGCAGCGCTCCGACTCCCTGGAGAATTAGGTGATGGATCCCATTTTCTGTGTTTTGAAAGGTGCTGATCGCAAAGCGCAGCGGGCCAGAGCCAGAGGCTCCTTGGCTGCCCGAGTCAGCCCGGAGCCAGGAGCTCGCTGGGCCAGCAGGGCCGCGGAGGTTGTGGAGGGCAGAGCTCCGGAGTCGGCACCCGCACGGAGCCGGCGGAGGCCCGCATCCTGGGCTTGGCAAACTAGCTGGCAGCCTCTGGTGAAGCAGTGCACACCGCAGCCGCGTTTGAGGGAGCAACTGGGAGAACACGATCGCCAGGCTATGGGAAGGAGAAAATCAAATCCATTCGGAAGGAAGGACCCTGGGTGCCCCCAGATCTGGCACTGTGGGACAAAGGTCCCAGAACACCACACGTGTGCTGGCAGGTTCAGAGGGAGTGGCTAAGGACCCAAATGCCCACCCGACTCCTGATTGGCCAGTGAGAAAAGGCCAGTTTGCCGCGGCCCTTTTCCCTGGAGCTGCCTGCTTAGTAGGGTTCCTTTTTCCTTCCCATCCTGCTCTCTTCCTCAGACTCCTCCTTTGGTTCAGTTCACCCTGTATCCAAAACACAAAGTAAAATTTAGTGCAAGCTTGAGCACAAAGCTGCATCTTTTTGCCAACGATCTTTGGATTTTCCATCTTTGTTTTTAGAAATTTTCAAGGCCCGAAGATTCAAAATTTAAAAAAAAAAATTATCATGGAGTTTGTGGCAAAGGTTCCTAGGATATTAGAGACATTGACATTTCACCGCTCTATATCATTACCTGGATTCCTCAGTGCTAGGTATTATCTCCTGCTCTCTCTCACTTTCTCTTCCTCTCTATCTCTCTTCTATGCCTCTCCACACACACAGAGTTTTGTATTGTAAAATTCTAAAGATCTCAATCCAGGTAAGAGAGTTTTACTTTTCATACTTTATTTTGTATACAAAAGTTTATTTTCCACTTTCCATCTTCTTCTGGGCAGAGTCTCAAATACATCTCTTTATTAAAGTTCCACCACTCTCCTTTGGCTGTATCAACACTTTCACTCCAGATTCAAAATTGACTTCCCATTTGCATGGTCGGCACCAGCCCAGACACCAAGAAATAAGTTAAATTAAACAGGTATGGGCAAGCAACTAATTCTCTTGATCTCCCAACTCTGATTAATTTTGAAAGGGTAAGCGGGAAGCAACTCCATTTAGGATGTCATCTCTTCTTACTCCTCTCCATGGTTTTCCATTGTCAGGATTGACTTTATCCTTGCGGTTGTCTCAGCATCCATTACTGGGATAGCTTGTCCCACTTGGCATTTACTGGGTTTGGACTCAAGGCCTGGGCACTGTCCCTGAGTACTTATGCTCAAGGCTAGTACTCTACCACTTCAGAATCACAATGTCCAACCTTTGGCCAGATATTTAGAGGTGAGTCTCCAGCCATGCCTCCATCCTGGCTCAGTGCTAATTAGCTGGGAGATGGAGTTTTAGAGGGATTCTTTGTGCTCATGGTGGCTTTGACCTGTGACAAAAAGAGTCTCTGTCACAGAAACCCTTTTTGTTTCCAATTAAAGCAACAAGGAGATCAATGAGATGGAGTTTACCTATAAATTGTTAATAATTGACCAACAATTACTTGCCAGAGTTTTCTAATAAAAGCCAGTAGATGTTTTTAAACTGAGACTGATTGTGCTCAAAGTACCACCCACTGCCTCTGGGCAACCTGTTTAAAGTGGTTTATATACATTTAACCTGTAACAAATGTACAGACCTTTTCTTGGGCTACAGCAGCATATCCTGTTTAGCACTTTAGTTTGTAAAAGCATTTTTCTCTCTGGCTGAGGAAACTGATTTCTAGTGGCCCCAACAATGCCTACCTGTGTAGGCCTGTAGATAGATCTCAACGAGGACATAATCTCAGGTCTCAAACTTTTTCTTAACAGATGAATTTACTAAACCATCTTTGTGGTAATCCTAACTTGTCTTTTTGGACTTTAAAGCAAACTTTAAGACAATTTTAATTTTAAACTTTTCTTTGTCTGGGAGGCCAGCCACTCCCCACAACTTCCCAAATTTTTACAAAGGGGACTCCATTTTTAATCCCTTTTTCTAAAAATAGTTTAATTTGCATTTAAATGCTGCATTGAAGCATTGGGCTATACCCTTTACCCCTTGGCTGAAAGCTTAAACTGCCAAATTTTTCTGCAGTCTGAGTTACCTTTAAGAAATTATCAGTTTTTCTTAATGAACTAGCACTGTAGCATCTCTTTTCCTTTAGAAATACATCCAGTTGTAAAATAGCATAGAAATCAACTTATATCCTTTGCTCATAAACCCTTTAGGGTCTACTTGTGGGGATTAACATTGCAGAAACAAATATTTGAGGTGGCTTGTGTTTTACTCCAAATTATCAGGCTTTTTGGTCATGTGTGATGGAGCAAGGCCAGAGTCTGGGTGAGTTTTTGGCATCTGCCAGAGTGTATGGACTGTGGGCTGGGAAGGTGGCTCAGTGGTAGAGCGCTTGCCTTGCATGCATGAGGCCCTGGGTTTGATTCCTCAGCACCACGTAAGCCAAAAAAAAAAAAAAAGCTGGAAGTGGCACTGTGGCTCAAATGGTAGAATGCTAGCCTTGAACTGAAGAGCTGAGGGACAGTGCCCAGGCCCAGAGTTCAGGCCCCACAACTGGATCCCCCCCCCAAAAAAAAAACAGAGTGTATGGACTGTCACACCTCCCACTGGTTACCTGCAAAAATTTCTACATATACTGGTTAAATACCTCATTTACACTGGCTTTTGCAGGCTGGTGCCACTGCTTTAACTCTGGTCCCTTGATCTTTAAGGGAGCACAGGGGAAAAAACGGAGAATTAAACCCTTAGCCTTAGTTTGCTAGCCATGGTCAGAGGTACAACGTCTACTGGGTTTTATTAGAAAACTGGCAAGTAATTGTACAACATCTTACCATAGATGGACATAAGATTGACATAAACCACAGCCATCTTAATTTCCAATTTAATTTACTTTGCAAAGGAAGCCATCTTTTCTAATTCCTTTCCCAAGGAGTTTTAAAACTGATTTTTCTTTGGCTTATAGTCAGCTCACAAAATTTTAAAGCAATTTAGATTAAACCACAGTTTCCACTGACAAAGATTTTTAGTAAGCAGAGTAGTTGGTAACCTTGAAACCGTAATATATAGACAAATTGACAGACTGACAGACAAGTTTGTGCACAGATTATAGAGCATGCTTCGATTTTAAAATCATCCGTTTGACGTTTTTTGGATTTACTTTGCCTAATTATGATGGAACCACGTGGTCAGTTTAACACAGAAAACTTTACCAACAACAAACTTTTAGTAAACAGGAGACAAGACATGAACAGACATGTGACAGGATAGAATGGTGCTCCTGGTCAGGTCAGTGGGGGGAGGATTAGAGAATCAAGTTGAGTTGTCGCGAAATTGTGTTGGTGGGAAATAGCAGCTGAGCTACCATGATGCCAAGATGGCACATCCACCACATGGTCCATGCTAAAGAGAGGTGAAGATTTTGACAGTGAGGGTGCATTGCTTTTGGCACACATGGAGCTTCAGGCTCCACCCCCACTACAAAGGCAGAGGAAGGGGCCCACAGACGAGGGAGTCTGGGAAGGGTGCCTCACAGGGGAGGCCACAGAGGGGGTGCCTTGCAGGGGAGGCCGCCAAAGAGGGGGTGCCTCACAGAGGAGGAGTTTAAACTTAAATTCTTCCATACTTTAACCTTCAGTTGGAAGGGAGAAGTTAAGAGAGAGTTTTACCTGCCTGAGTTCTCACATTAGTGGAGTTTTAAATTTGGAGCTAAATTTGATTGTAAGGAAATTTAGTTGTGTGTCCTTTTCCATGGTAAGCGATGGTGGAACCAAAATCTGACTGCTAGCATCCCTGGCAGTGAATTTGGTTCAGAAAGTGGGAAATAACCAGTGGGAAATGTCACATTTCTCCATGGTGTCCCTGGGCCACGGAGGCCATTGGCCATGGAGGCCATCAGCAAGATACTTGCCCAAGTTTTTTTTTTTGGGGGGGGGCCTGAGTCCCCCTTACAGAGGCAGGAAGCCTGCACTTCACTTATCTAGAAGTAGGACTTAGTTAGCCAGTGTTGGGCAGCAGGTAGAGTGCTTGGTCAGGAGAAAGTTACCTTGTTGGTCCTCTGGCGATAGGAGTGTAGGACCTCAGGCTAGGTCCTGTGGAAGATGGTCATGCCCCCATACAAAGTGGAGGGGGGAGCAAATCCACCGGGAAACCTATACCCATAGAGCCACCAATGAAGGACCCATCACATCTATCCCAGGGGACCACATAGAGGCAGGCAGACACAGGAGAAAGATGATTACCAGGTTTTGTAGAAGAGCCATATTTGCCCCGGACATAGAATGCTTGGCAGCCTCCACTATGTAGCAGCAGGGTCTGGGGGTAGGAAGTGAGGTAGATGGAAGTTCAGGTGGGTCTGGGCAGAGAGAGGGAGTTGCCAGCTGTATGGTGGGAACTCCATGGCAGGGAGGAGCTCAGGTATAGGTGAAACTAAGGACCAAAGGTGGGGATAATGCTAACAACATCCTTTGTTGTTTT